AAAAAATGAAGGCATGAATGTAATAGCAAAGAAAGAAAGAAAAAAAAAGAACTAAAAGACTGCTTTCTGGCAAAAAAAACGTAAAAAAAAAGAAAGAAAAAAGAAAAGAAAAATTAAAGAAAAGAAAGAAAGAAAAAAGTAATGAAGATAATGAACGTCTGGCTAAGAAAGAAAGAAAGAAAAAAAGAAAGAAAGAAATATAGAAAGAAATAAAATAAATGAAAAACGGAACGTCTGGCAAAAAAAAAAAAGACAAGAAAATGAACGAAAAAAAAAAAAAAAGAAATGAAAGGCGTGAACGTCTGGCAAAAAAGAAAAAAAGAAAAAAAAAAAGAAAGAAAGAAATGAAAGAAAAGAAAAAAGAAAAAAAAAAAAAAGTCATACAGAAAAAAGAAAAAAAGGAAAAATAATCTAAAAAAAAAAAAAAACTTTAAAAAGTGAAAAGAATTAATTAAGTACATTTTTAATGAACAGAAAAAACGAACAAAAAAAAAAATATTGATATATATTATATATATATATATATATATATATATATATCTTATCTGGATACGGTTTTGTAACCCATTAGAGTCGGTGGCGGGTAGGGTAGGATATTTATGTTTTGTGCTATGACAACAATGGTGTATCTTGTGAAATCATTCCTTTCCAGGCTATATTTTTTTGAATTCAAAGATTTACATCTCCAAGACTCTGTTGCTGTTTTAAAGAGCAGATTATTCAACCATAGTTGCTGGGTGGGGGCAGAGAAGGGGCAGAGATGGATTCATCCTTTTCCCAGGGGTAATTGCGTGAAAGGGGACATAATGAACTAGACCGGAATTTGAACTCTGCTAGACAATGCCTCTTTCAGAGTCACAGATAGTTATGCCGACCGATATAGTTAAAGATAGAAGAAGTGCGGACATAGGAATCAACACTGAATGGTTACTGGCAGTTTCACGCAAAATGCGATCGTGATAAAATTTACTAGGTTTATACTTTCTTTCAAGAAGTGTTTTCTGAATATATTGAAAACGTTTAATTCATCCGTATACACATAAAAACATAGACACACATATACACATAGACACACATATACACACAGTTATGTGTTTGCATTCTGTTAATGTATATATATATATATATATATATATATATATATATATATATATATATAACATATATATATATATATATATATATATATATATAGTGTGTGTAGATATATATATATATATATTTATATACATACAGATTTTATATATATATATGTATGTATATATAAATGTATATATATATGTATATAAATTTTAAGACATATATATATATATATATATATATATATATATATATATATATATATATATATATATATATATATTATAATTTACATATCTTGATATTTTGACATTTAAATAAAACAAATATTTCTGTATATATGTATACAACATAATATATATGAGGTGTGTCTGCCTTTGGAATTTTAAAAAATATTATATATTATATATATATATATATATATATATATATATATATATATATATATATATAAATTCAAGAGGATAGAATATGAATATTTTTTGAATTTGATGGGTCTGATAATTTGGATCGTGATTACGATTCCAATGTTATAAATTTTTTAACCATAGAATATTAGTGTTTGAGCCTTTTTTATTATATTCTTACTCTGTCCTGGACATTGAGTTCTGAAATGGATTCTATCCTCTTGTATATATATGATTGTTGAAAATATATATATTGACCACTAATATTATCTATCTATCTATCTATCTATCTATTAAATATCTATATATATATATATATATATATATATATATATATATATATATTAAATTAATTTTGTTAAAAAAAATCAAAATTGCATCACATATTTATTTCAAAAACCCGCTATAATACGTTGATCTTATTTAACCCTGGTAAATGGACTCTATTTATATTATTCCGATATGTAGGGACATTCTAAGAAATTAGCAATTTCATTTTACTAATGACAGTTTTTTTTTTACAAAGGTACAGATTATAAACCACCAAATCTATTACCTGTCCTATATATATTCCCTTGGGAAAGGTATTAATCCTCTTCCTCTCCCTCCAGCTATGGGTAAAATAGTAGGACAGACTGGGTTCTATAGCCTTGGATGGCAACTGGTCTAGGAGAAGGACAACTCTGAATTCAAAACCTGCGGAGGGTTGTTTGGGAACCTTGTGGCATTCGGTGCACCAGGTCTCTGTATTCGTCCCTTCAATAAGTGTGGATGGTCCTGCTCGAGGCCTTCACCACTATAATCAAATCTCATGTGTCGTTGTCGGGCTGTCGGTTTCCTGGAAACTGATCTGCTTGACCCTCATACGTCGAATCTCGACGGGAGAGTCGATTATATATATATAAAATAAAATAAAATAACATTTAAATAAAATAAAATAAAAATAACGTTTAAATAAAATAAAATAAAATAAAATAAAATAACATTTAAATAAAATAAAATAAAAATAACGT